TGTATCGAGCACTATTTTTTTAAAAATAATAACAAAAATACTAAAGAACTTTTGGATTATTTACCTAACGAGCTCTTTTCTATTTTCTATATATTTTTACACACACACACACACACACACACACACACACACATATATATATATATATATATATATATATATATATATATATATATATACTATTGCTTCACTATGTAACCATTTTGACTTTCCTATCTCTTCTTTATCTGTATGCAGTCCATCTTAAAATGTATTTTATATTTTTCAAACAAATAGACAAACGGAAGTGATGTTCAACATGTAGAACGCTTACAAACGAAATTATTCATAACAATTTTGGTTCTCACCGACAACTTAATCCATCGAAACGAAGTTGAAATTTTGTAGTAAATTGTTTTTGTTTTCTTTTCTATATGAAAAAATTATAATATATATATATATATATATATATATATATATATATATATATATAAGAATTATCTGCGCCTTGATGCATGTTACACTTTTTTTGTTATAAAATAATGATTGATCTGAAATCATTGCTGTAATATATGGAGAAAAAATGATCCACTTCATAATTACTCCGATGTGGCCTCCATCTTCGAGTCTTCTTTTTCTATAATTTGGTGAGCTGTCGTTTTTCTTCAAAATTAAGTTTAATTCAGATCAAAAGGAAAAAAAATCAGTGGTTCTGTGCAAAAACAGCTTTTGATATATATTTGATACAATACTTGATGGAATTAATTGATGAGCAGATTTCAAACATTGATATGACAGTTGAATTGTCGCAAGAAATATGTTTGTAAGGCATAACCCACTGATTCGTGATTTCTTGCTCAACTTCACATCCATATTGTCACATTTTAATCTTGCGGATTGGACCCCTCATCTTATGGCTTTTTCCTTCTATATTTTGATAGGAATCATTCCCTCGCTCAAAGTTAAATTTAATTTTGATAGTAGTGAATAGAATTTCACTGGTTTTGTGCTTTCCGGCGACAAAACAAAATATACTTATTCGTATACCCAAAGAATCATTTCCATGTTCAAATTTAAATTTAATTCATATCAAAAGGAAAAAAATCAGTGATCGCGGGGTTGTGCGCCCCAGGACCCACTTTGATCAAAATGAAATGTACTTATCCAACTCACCTGGGTAATGCAGTTTCAGAATATATATATATATATATATATATATATATATATATATATATATATATATATATATATATATATATATATTATATATTACTGCATTCGTTCTTCAAAAACATTAGGAGTTTGATAACAAAGAAACTGACAGAGAGACTGCAAATGTGTGTGTGTGAGTGAGTGTGTGTAACGCATTTCGAAGTCATATATCAAAATTGGCATATATTACTAGAATTTTACTTATTTTAGTCCAGCTAAATTTGCTAAAAAATATTCAGATATCAGAGAAACAGTATTCTCTAAACCAATAAATATTCAATGATCTTGAACTATCTCATTGATCAACTCTAAAATTTTAAGTAACATGACTTATAAGTTGATACATCCGGATTATTAGAGTTAACAAAAATTCGACAAACAAAGTATGTTTGTTTGATTTTAATTATTCATTGTATTTTTCCAGTTTTGTAATGCATTGCTGCACATCCGGTTCAAAATTGTCCAAACGTCATGTTTTTACGGTATATCTCCACTTTTGATCAGATTGAACAAAAGATTAATCGAACCTTGGAAAAAAGTAAACAAACAGACCTATTAAGTTGAATCTAATACAATGGTGTGGGCGATACAGAGAAATTGTGAGAGAGAAGCAATTGTATTTATATCAATCAAAGCGGCAATGTTTAGTCTCTCTCCACATTACTATTCGGTAGTGAAGTCGTTCATTCCTAGGTGTACTATATTTATGACTTATAAATTTATATATATATATATATATATATATATATATATATATATATATATATATATATATATATATATGGTAAGCAATTCGAAGACACATACCAAAATGTGTATATTGTATATTTTTATGCGTTGATGTCTGTGTGTTTGTGCGTGTAATATGTGAGAGACAAATGAATGACTTTTACTACTTTTTTTTTGTTCAGTCGTAAATGCAGTAAATACAATAAACACCTTGTACTCAGCTTCTGTGGCCTTGTGTTGAACAAATTTTAACTTAGTCAACAATCGTTGACCTTTAATCCGTCAGAAAGTATTTTCAGTGTGTCTTTTGGACTCTTTCTACTGAGTTCAAAACCCGTGCTAAATGTCACAATTTCAGATCTAGCCTTCGTTTCTCATTATTTAAATTATACTATTTCATATTCTAGCGGGTCCATTAATGAACTTTCGATTTTCGATCACTGATTTATCTTCTCACTGGAATGAGCTATTTCACATCATCTTATTAACACTTTTGTTTATTTCGCAATTAACCTTTATATATGTGTTGTCCTTTCTGGGTGTGAGATATCATGTCAGTCCACATCTTTCTGTTTTTTTGTAACCGTAAGCAATGTGACCCTATTTCTATTATTCTTAGTCCCAGTTCTGCCGTCCATTCAGAAGAAACTCACTAGGAATGTTAAAATGTATCACTCTGTTCTTCTTGCCATCAATATAGCCAGTCTTCATCGTGTGTTATAACACTTACCATATAGTTCACTTTGTTTAATATTTTGATTCTGAAGTCTCTAATTTCCACCTCAATTATTGCGTGTCTTTCTTTCATTTTTTAAAGCATTTCACCTCAAGCTAGGCGGGATTGTCACTAGCACGCAACGGGTTACAGAGAGTAAGAGCAAGATTAAAGAAGGGGGTTTCAGGAAAGGGTATAGAGAAGGACGAGGATCAGGATCAAGGAATCATGAAATGTCTATTGACATTTAATTGATATATTTGAAGATTATAGATATCAGAGAAGCAAGTAGAAGGAAGGGAATTCCACGGTCGGGAAGTGCGAGAGAAGAAGCTGTTGGAGTAGAAGAGGCGATTACATTTAACTCTTTCAATAGTGAAAGGGTGGGACCGAGATACCAACCTAGTATAACGCGTAAATTCATGCAGTTGGGGTACCAGTGAAAGTAGCTCGTCAGAACTGTTGCCATGAACATATTTGTAGAAAAGACAGAGGGAAACTTCATCACGTCTGTGGGAATGTGACTATAGTCGAGATGCCATATCAGGTTGCATATCAATCTTTGGATTTTGTCAAGGACATCGAGATGAACAGCTGGGCTCGAAACCATATATGGCAAGAGTATTTATTGCAAGCTGAATAATATATTTTATCTTCTTGTAGTTTGTGGTTATTCCTTTCTTCTCGCTTCTTTTACTGGGTTTTGTCGGAGAATAGGCAGTTTTATTTCAGTGTCTGCCATTAACAAGAGCTATTGGATTGCACCAAACTAAATCAGATAGCAATAAACAGCATGCAGCAACCTGAATAAAATAATTGAATATTATATATTGATGTCAGACATCGGATCTTGGAGCAGATAAAAGAGGCAAAATTTCGAATGCTCCTTTAACAAGATTAATAACTTTCGATTCTCTTTTTGAAATTTAGTGCAAGTCAATATCTAGACGTATAAGTACGCCACAAATTTCCTAATAGTCAAGCTGAGAGCATTGACTTAACATAATCTTTGAAAAAGAATAAGAGCGTAACAAATCTTTTGAATATGTCACTGTGACAAAATCACGTAGCTTTTCATTAATGGATGATCTACATTGTTAACTCTGTCATCCTTCAGTAATCACAGCGAATGGGCAACTAAATTCATACATACATACAAATACACACACACACACACACACATATATATATATATATGTGTGTGTGTATGTATATGTATGTATATGCATATGTACACACACACACACGTGTGTGTGTGTTTGTGTGTGTGTGTGTGTGTGTGTGTGTGCTGTACTTTGTGGAAATTCCTCCAAATCCCTGATAGATCATCAGACAAACTTCATTTGTTTGCCAGAAGATCGCAAAAGTGTGAAACCCGGGGTTACAAATTAATATACATACAACTGAATGCACACACGCACACACGAATGCACACAGATACACACGCACGTACACAAACACAAATACACACACACACACAATATATATATATATATATATATATATATATATATATATATATATATATATATATAAAAAAGTGAACATAGAAGACGATATAAAAGTGAACATAGAAGACGATTGCATATAGCATGAAACAGACTGTCGCCTCTAAGTGTTGACTTCTATGTTCACTTTTATATTTACACACGCTCTATCTCTGATATTGAGCACTTTATCCCATAAATATAGCACACCTTAAGACTATATTTCTTTATATATATATATATATATATATATGTATATATATATAGAGAGAGAGAGAGATACAGACACACACATATATATATATGTATGTTTATATACATATGTTTGTCTGTGTGTATGTATATATATATATATATATATACACATTAGGCATATATATGTGTATGACAAAGTGGAAAATGTTTTTGCTTTGACATTTAGGGGTTGATCAGAATAGTTTTGTTTACATTGATACGACTGCACATGCGCACGAGTTGCTAGAAATTTTAAATTAAGAAAAATTGTTATTTCCTTTTTTTTAATGTATGTACATAATCTAACAAAATTAATTAAGATTATTTTTCCTTTTCCTAAAAATAAATCACGAACACACACATACACACGCACACACACACACACACACACATCGAGATAGACTGGGCACGAGAGAATGGGAGAGAGAGAACATGATAGAAAGAGCGCGGGAGCGGAGGAGAGAAAATAATTTAATTTTAAAAACAGAAAAACATAACAGAAACATAGTGGTAATAGGCTCGAGAGGTAGGAATAAAAAGAAAACAATATTTAGAGAATGAGTGAAAGAAAAAGAAAAAATAAGAAAGAAAGAATGAAAGACGATACGGATAATATGGAGGAAATTATAAAATTCATTTGATAATTAACGAGAGAGACAAAAACGAAGTGATACGAAGAGAGATGAGGAGGTAGGAAAAGACAAAGAGGGAAAGCGATGAAAAGAAAATGAAAAACATATAAGCAAAGAAATGGCAATATCACAAGAAATATAAGGGAAACTGATATGCAAAGGAATATTGATAAAGAAATTGGTAGAAAATCAAAGAGAACATATAAGAGAACAGGTGGGGGTGAAAAAGGAAGGAGAAATGAACCAGAATATAGAAATAAAGGCAACGTGTGGTAGATAGATATGTATAAATATACTGAGCCAGATAGATAGATAGATAGATAGATAGATAGATAGATAGATAGAAATATACTGAGATAGATAGATAGATAGATAGATAGATAGAAATATACTGAGCCAGATAGATAGATAGATAGATAGATAGATAGATAGATAGATAGATAGATAGATAGATGTGAATATATGAGTCAGATAAACAAAAATATAGATACATATAAATATACTAAGTCAGAGAGATAGATGGATAGATAGATAGATATGAATATACTGAGTTAAATATATATGTGTGTGTGTGTGTGTGTGTGTGTGTGTGTGTGTGTGTGTGTGTGTGTGTGTGTGTGTGAAGATAGGTAGATAGATAGAGACACTGAGTCAGATAGAAATTATGGAATACTCCATACCTACCTGTCACCCCACCAGAATAATGCATTTTCACGCATAATCACCTCTTAACCAATCAGCATCTTAGTTTCAGAAAACTAAGTTTTTCATTAGCTGAGACCTTAAAACTGTAGAAAGTAGAAATGCTAAAACTTTGACCTAACTACACCATCGCGCACTAATTCTTCTGACTCGACAAACAGCACTTCACTCTTTCAGAAACATTACTTACAACATACTAAAGAAAGTGAATTGACCTACTACTAAACAGTATTTGTAAATCTCAATACAATATCAAGACAACTGCTAAAGTTACACAAGTCTTACAAACTTTGAACCGTAACTTTAACAAACGCACACATACACACTAGTGACTGAACTCCCACAAAAGACATTTTGTAATACGCTAAAACATCTTGTTTAATTTCATGCACAAATCCTAACCACAAGCCTATACACATTGAAACTCAGCATAATCCTTCTACATATTTTATTACAACTGGTCGCACTTGATCAGCAATATCTATCTTGATTGTGTATGTTCAATTGATATAAAATTAATGTTATTTGTTAAATCTTTAATCATGTTGTCCTCATTTTTGATTCCTCCTGAATGATTTTAGATTCAATGTTCTTAATTTTATATTTGTTGTGGATGAAAACCTACATTTCTAAGCCTTCTGATAACCTAAACTTCTGATATACAAAATACATTCGCCAATCTGCAACAGACAGACAGACAGACAGATAGATAGATAGATAGATAGATAGATAGATAGATAGATAGATAGATAGAAGAGAGGGAAATGGCAATATGAATAAAGCATGTATGAAAGCAAATTAAATACTAACGAATGAGGGGAAAAGATGGGAATTAACAGTAATACATGGTGGTAATTAAAAATGTCAGAGAGAAGATAATCCATCGGGAATGAAATAACAGAAAGCGTGAGGGAGCAAAAGAAATGACTTATAGAAAGAGAAAGTGAAGGAGATAATAATAGAGAGAGCGTGAGAAAATGAAGAGAGTGGACAAAGTAAAGGATAGTATATAAAAGAAAGAGAGAGAAAACGAAGAGAATGTTAGAAAGGGAAATGGGAGAAGGAGAGAAGGAGAGAGATATAGAAGGGAATGAAACAGAATAAAAGAAGAATGAGTGGAAGGTGCGGACGGGATATACAATAAGAAAAGAAATGAAGGAGAGAATCATAGAGAGTATAAGGAAGTGGAGAAGTGGGACGAGAATGAGGTAACAGTGGTAGGAACGAGGAAAGAAAATGAACAGAAGAGTAAAAATAGAGAGAGATAGAAGGTAATGTAAAGCGGGAGAAAAATAGAGACTGATAGGGACTGAGAGAGAAGTAATAGAGAGCAAGATAGAAAAGCAGTGGTGATGAAAATAGAGAGAAAAAGAACAAAGTGAAGAGGTAAGACAAAACGTACAATGAGACCAAACGGAAGACATTTTACAAATAACTTTGAACATATACAATAAAATAAAGCTTTGAAAACCCGTCAACAACGAACCCCTCCCCTGCATCCGATAAACAACAATGGATACGTTAAAACCGCCCGTTTTCCGCATAATTAAAGTTTTTGGAATAATTTCAGAATACTTTAATTATTCCATGGCCGCGTTTAAACAGTGATTTCGTGCGAACGAAAAAAATCACAACTAAATCAGTTTTAAAACATTCGCAACTGTTGATTTAAAACGATTAGAAATATACGACCAGTTTAGCTTTAATGGCAGAAATTGCAAACAATCTTTACACGTACAAGGACGGAAAAATGGAAGGCTGAATATTTGTTTAATCACAGGTAGCATAAATGGATTCCTGGAAATTATAACAGATACAGCTATAGGTCACAGTAATCAATGTTCTCTGTTTCCTCTTTGAAGGATTACATCGTCTTCCTTAAAAAGGAATAAAATAGAGTTGCATTCTGTAACGGTCTTCGTGGCAGACGGGTAAAGCACACCGTATCATACATATATAAAGGAAAAGGTTTTACAAAGAAGGGCATGTTAAAATTAATCAGACTCCATATTAATTCATTGTATATTCTCCTTCGCTTCAACACAAACGTCTCGTCTGTTTAGGATCATACGAATGGCGAATCTGCCTCTTTATCTTCCCCATTCTCTCTCACACTCACCTAATATATACATAAATATATGTGGTTAGGGAAGACATTGTTGATTGGAATTTGGTTTGTTTAGTTTCCTATAGAATACAGTGTCTGAAGTCTGAAGAAGGATTTCTTGAAAAGATTATATAAATATATATATATATATATATATATATATATATATATATATAGAGAGAGAGAGAGAGAGAGAGAGAGAGAGAGAGAGAGAGATTTTTTTATGTTTATACGTTCTTTTTATAGATACAAATATTTAAGTAAATGCTCTGTTTAAAATGAACAGTATTAACGACATTTTACCGGCCTGAATGTCCGAGAAATATAGAAAATATGCGTCCTCCGACAGGAATCAAACCTGTATCCTACGGAACCGTCATATAGCCTGACGTGCTTTACCGATTTAGCCACAGAGGAGCCTTTCAGTTAGCAAGGTCGATTTTACATCTTTCTTTTTTTAACTACAATTCTCCATGATTTAAAAACACAAATTACAGTAAAACTGGCCTTATTTTCCGAACAAAGGATATTTTAGCCTTGTTCCTAGTTAATATTATTGAATGGTTTTTTTATTTATATTTCATTATTAAAGTTTCCATTATTTTTAAACTTTTTCACATGTAGATGAGATTATTATGCTTGTATTTTCTACTAGTAAGTTTCGGATGGAGTCTGGTAAGTTTGTGTGTGCATTTAAATGGTTTCTGATGAAGTTGTGGTCGAGTAGGTGTACCGTAACTAATGGTGTTAGTATGGGAAATCCGCTCAGCCAGTGCTTCTACAATTACTACATGTCCCATATTTAAACAGGTTTGTAAACCTAAAATATGTAGACGATATTTTATTTTAGCGAAAGACACAAAAGAAATAGATATTATCAAAACGACATTTGAAAAAAATTGTCCTTAACTTTACCTACGAAATTAGTCAAAAAATAAACTCTTACACTTAGATGTACACGTAGCATAGAGTAACGACACTTTTACCACCTCACTGTATAAAAAACCCACTAGCAGAAAATGTTGACACCTTAAGTTTAAGAATGAATGCTCTCTTAGATACAAAATACGTGTCATAAAAACACTCTAAAGATAGTATATAAGAATTCATCCACTCGCCTATTTTCCTTAAAGCACTCTACAATGTAAAACAGTTTTACATAGTTTGGGTGTAGATGTTGCCATTATGGTTGGCTTGCATATAATATTTTTTTGAAGATATTTGGTTTGATGTATGGAGGTGGGGATATAATTATATGTGTACACGTAGTTAAGACTACCAAAATAGATACGTATACGGAAATATAAAAATACACAAGCCTCGATATCAGCTACGCCCAATCATTTCACAAATCCCAACCCCTATCTGCAAGCTATGGAAATTCCTTAATGACATCATTACCACATACCTACCTACAAATTACTGTATTACATCCACCCACAAATTCCCCTAAATTCTAAAAAGTGCTAAGTAACTAACCCAATTTATCTTAGTGTCACTCGACGTTGAAAATTTAATCCTAAACTTCCACGTCGATCAAATCATTGACGTTATTCTTAACTCCGTGTACACAAATAATCTTATTATATTCGGGCCCCAAGGGCAACGTCTTCTTTCACCAAGCAGTTCACTCCTGAGCATTTAAAGCTGCATCAAACAAGGATAAATAGGTGATAGAATGTTTTTTCTTTTTTGCTGTGGGCGTGAGGATTTGAATAATCATTCATAATAAGTCATCGAATTTTGGGGCTTTAACCGTTAGGTTAAGTATACTTTTATGTGTATCACAACCGGAATATAATTGAGTTTCTTCTTCGCTACCGAGTAGTTTGATCCAATGGTAGGACGCTTGCGCTGTATCGTAAAACTCCGAGTTCGAATCTCGGTAGTGGATATTCCATTCTGTGGAGTCCCAAATGGGACGAAACGGCCGTCTAGTGCTTGCTTGCATTCTGTTGAGAAATTTTAGACTCGGTGAATTACTATGAATATATATATATATTGATGGACGAAACAGCCGGAATGACTTTCGGTTGAAAAATATAAAATCTTCCTCTTCACAAATGTTCAGGAAAATAGCTTTCTCAAGTTCACTACATATAGACATGGCGCATTTTAACCATACACACACACACATATGTACATACATGTATATATATATATATATATATATATATATATATATATATATATATATGTGTGTGTGTGTTTGTTTGTTTGTTTTTTTGCGCACGTGCGCGTGTGTGTTTATTAATGTCAGAATTTCGGCATGTAGGAGAGTGTCGTTTTATGTAATGACTTGGTGACATTTAAAATCAATCACCAAATGATGACTAGAATATACAGAACTAATTTTAATATATATATATATATATATATATATATATATATATATATATAGTGAGAGAGAGAAAAGAGTAGATTATCTGCAAATTCGATTCTTTTTTTGTTTTTTTGGCATATTTGTTTAAATGTTTAAATAGTTTTCATTAGACATGCGTTCTCCAGTGCCTTATTTCGATAGTTTTAACATTATATTATAAAATTAATTTATTCAAGTGTTCTAATATCACCATATATATATATATATATATATATATATATATATATATATATATTCAGCCGAAGACAGTATGTTTCGCTGTATCACTACTCATCATTATGGCTAGACACGCGATTGCTTCAACCCAGGATCGAAACCCGACAGTTTTGACCTCAGTCGGAGACTCAACTTTAGACCGTCAGCTCACTTATTGGAGAAATGGAATTTTTAACACCTTATATTCAAGATATACGCATTGCCACCTCCCATGGTTCTCAATTCATGGCGAAGTGCTCTCCATATATATGTTTGTTAAAGATATTTCATATTATTTAAATGCCATGCTCTTTCTTGATCTAAGCGATTTGGGCTCTCCGTAGGTTTAATCGTTTCCTTCATGCAGTTTGCAAGTCAGACATTTCCTTCTAATAAACTGTTTGTACACTACGTCTAAAGAACCCAGAATTCTCTTCTTTTTAACTCAGAGATCCTGGTAAAAATAATTAGATTCATGCCTTTCCTATGCGCATTAGCGCGAAAATGAACTCCTCTGATATTTGCTGTATTGTAATTTTATGCAAATGATAAGAGATGTTATACTAAAATATCAAGAGTACCAGTCTTCTTCGAAACAATGTTCTTTTCAAAAGAGCTGATTGATTCACTTTCAGCTTCCTTCACATTCTCTTGTTGCTAGTATTTAATACGCCTTCAAAACTTCCTCCGGTTCATTAATTTTGGTATTCTTCGTATTTTCACAGACTTCTTTGTCTTTGATTAAAAATCCCGTTTTTAAACTTTGCGATCGATTTTGACACGTGCTCACGCGGTTCCATTAGCACACAATTCAATAGCCCACTTTATTTTTTACTCACACTAAACAAGTGCAAGCAGAAACATCTGCATATTTCGTATTCAGTTATGATTTTCTGGAAAATAATATTAAATATGTCTGCATATGCACTCGAAACCTTAATTCATTTTAAAGAGAGTTTTGAAAATGTACTTATTTATTGAAAATTACGCTGTGGCTATTGTAAAATGGCTGAATAATTATGATTTTTTTTTAGCCGCTATCACCCCAAGCGCAAGGCCGTAATGCAATTAAAACACAAGGGGTTACTGGGTGCGGCAGAATTACAAACAAAAACAATAATGATGAGCAGAAAAAGAAGAGAATAATCGATATCACTTGACACTGCATTTAAATTTTTGTAAATTAAAGTTGGTTGAAAGCATGGAGCTTAAGTGGTTCCACAAGTGAGAAGTGCGAGAGAAGAAACAGTAGGCATAGAATTTATGGTTACATCTAGCCAGCTTAAATGTAAATTGATGAGATGTACTAAGTATAGTAAATAGATATTGAAGAGTCAATTTATATATATATATATATATATATATATATATATATATATATATATATATATATATATATATATATATATATTTCCTTTGAGGCAACATTGTCTGCTGTTATTTTTGTTTTGTTTTTTCATACGAAATTATTAACATATTTATCAACCAGAATCCACTCCACTCCAAAATGTATAACATCAAAAAACGGAATTCAAATATCTGAAACATGCATAAAGGATCAAACATTAAATGTTAAACAGAAACTAAGTCATATTGTAATGGTAATATCAGCCGTTAACTTATAAGGAAAAATTTGGCATTTATTGACCGAGCAGCCAGTACTTTTTGCGGTTGAAATTTATAGAATCTTTCCTTGAAATAATTTTTTTCTGGAAAATAGCTTTCTCAAGTCCCGTAGG